GCTCGAGGTTGATACTGCGAGAACTGCGGTTGCTGCTGCTGCTGCTGCCTTGGACAGTTGAAGCGCGAGTGTCCCGTCGTGTGGCATTGATGACAACACGGAGGTGAATGTCGTTTCTGATGGTGTTGATTGTTGTGGTTGCGTTCGTGTGCGTAGAACGCGAGTTGCTGACTGGGTTTTTTTACTTTCCGTTCTTCGTACAGGTCCATATCTTGCTGCTCGGCGTGGAGCTCCGTGCATAGGTGCATCTCGGAGATCCTCCCGTGAGCGCGTAGAAGGGGGCGTGTCGTACGCCACTGTGGACTGAGGCCAGCAAGAACTACTGTGACGAACGAGTCCTCCGATAAGTGCCCTCCGCTTCATAGAAGCTTGTCTCGTAAGCCTCTACAATGATTGATGTAAGGCATCGCCTTTTCTCCTGGCTGCATCTGGATTGTCGTGAGTTGTGCCATTAGTCGGCTTTGTGTCATGCTTTCAGTTGCTTGGTAGACGCTCTTCAGATGGCAATATGCCAGTTCGGCTGACTTGCCGAAGTTGCGATATGTACGAATGCTTTGCTACTCCGTTGCTGTCAAGTTGCGCAAGAGGATGGTGAAGGCCATCAACGACTGATAAGTGTAGATCTTCTTTTCTTGAGTAGTCGCGTTTGCAGGAAATGGCCAGGAGCTGATGAAGAAGCCGAGGATTTGCGCGCCGTCCATCAGCAACTCAAACTCGAAGCTCAAGAAGAAGAAGTCCTTCTCGTTGAAAGGTGAGGACGTCTATAGTTTCAGGATATTGTTAAATGGTTCTTGCATGGTGACGATGTCTGTTTGCTTGTCAGCTATCTCCGAGTCCACTCCCAGTGCGGGAGTCGGCAGGAAGGTGAACGAGCCTGGCGAGGGCTGGTACGGTTGATGCTATGTAGGTTGTACGCCTCTTGTGTACGATGCGCCATTGAGGCTCATTGGGACTGCCCATTGTTGTTGCTGTGTGCTGATTCAACAGGTGTCGAAGACTGCTCATAGGTTGACACGAAGGAGAAGAACTTCTCCATTAGATGCGGGTCCAGGCCCGAGGAGGAGGCCACTAGTTGCGTGGAGGCTCCTGCAGCTGCGACTACCTCATTCTGTAGTCCAGAGGTTGGGGGTGAAGAGGGGGATCCAGTAGAGGATCCATCGCCCTTAGATGGCGCCATGTCTTGTAATCTTGAATTGATAAACTGAAGTTGTTGCAAGTGATTCTTCAAACAAGTTAGAAACTCACTGAGGGAGTTTGTAACAGGAGTGTAGCTTCTGACTAGCTCTCATACCATGTTGGGCTGAGAATAGCCCCAGGATCTTTTCAGAAGGCTAAGTCCTCGTAACAGAGTGCTTGATAACACAGCAGAAGTCTTAAGTTGAACCCTTGTACTGGTATGTGAGAACAAGTAATTGATTTTAGCAAAGGGATACATGTTTATATAATGATACAAGAGAATATGAAGAGTCTAACTATGTTGTGCACTTCAAGGGGTGCATTCCCTTTTACGACTCGATAAGGCGACTCGGGTAACCACTCGTACTGTAATATCGGGACGGTTAGTTGCCTTACTGTCGCGCTGACTCCAGGGCCTATCTTTTGATTTCCACGAGTGACTCCTGGCCTAAGTCTGATTTTCAGAGTGCCCCAGGCCTCTGATTTGTCAAGGTTTTTTACACCCTTTCAAACAAAAAATCTGACACTGTACCGGATGCCGCAGGGCAAGATATATGCCCCACCATTTATTTCGCACCATAGCGCGTTTGTCCGGGTAACCTCTACTGAATCTGCAAGTCTATCGAGATTTTCTTCCGAAATCTGCCCTGTGCAGTCACGTTTCGGTTCGAAACAAGGATTCGTTGGGTTCTCTGAAAAGAATCAGCAGAGGCAGAGGCGGAGGAGGAGGAAGGGGGAGGCGGAGAGAGGGAAGGAGAGGGAGCGATGGTTGTCTGTGGGGAAGCAGGGGAGCGAGCAGGAGATGCCGCAGAGGCAGAGGCGGAGGGAGAGGAAGGGGGAGAGGGAGAGGGAGAGGGAGAGACTGTTGTATGCTTGAAGGCGAGAGAAGGAGCTGGGATGGAGGCTGAAGGTGCAGAAGTGGTGGGAGGAGGAGCAGATGGGGTAAAGGGAGGAGCAGAGGAGGTAAAGGGAGGAGCAGAGGAGGTAAAGGGAGGAGCAGAGGAGGCAGAAAGAGGAGCAGGGGAGGCGGGAGGAGGAGAGTGGGTAGAAGGAGGAGCAGACGAGCTAGAGAGAAGGGCAGGGGAGGTAGAGGGAGCAGAGGAGGTAGAGGGAAGAGCAGGGGAGGCTGTAGGGATTTGTCCCATGGGAATTGCAGAGGCAGAGGCGGAGGCAGACGCAGTTTTAACAGCAGGGACGGCACCAGCAGCAGCAGCGGAGGGAGAGGAACAAGCAGGGGAGGAAGGAGCAGGGGAAGGGGAGGAAGGAGGAGGGAGAGCTGGCGGGATGGATGCAGAGGGAGAAGCAGATGGGAAGGATGGGGATCGGGGGGAGGAAGCAGGGGAAGGAGTGGAGGCATTTGAAGAAGCAGAGGAGCGAGTAGGGGAAGCTGGTGGGATGGGGGCAGAAGGTAGAGCACGCATGAAGGATATGGGACGGGGTGAAGAAGCAGGGGAAGGAGTGGAGGCATTTGAAGAAGCAGAAGAGCGAGTAGGGGAAGCTGCCAGTCAAACGAGTACAAACAAGGCAAGAGCAAGACCAGGGTGACACTACTAGTCCAGCAACTGGGAAGAGGCCACAAGGCCAGTCAAGGTAATATATATAAAGGTCTGTACACAATCAAGGTCCTAGCAAATGAGAGACTACAGGAACGAGACCTAGCTGTACACAGTGCAACCGATGATCTTTAGACGCAAGCACCTTCGTAAAGATATCAGCTGTGTTGGCATCGGAGGCCAAGTGTACTATGTAGGCCTGGCGACACTTCTACTTTAGCCTTGGTTTCAGGTGCCATCTCGTGGAGGTCCACTCGCTCCTCGTCTGTTGCCCCGTCTAGCTGTGAGGCTAAGATCTACGCCGGTGCCATGGCGGCACAGGAGCTCCGCTGGCTGACCTTCTTGCCTACAGACTTAGGTGAGTGGCCTAACACTGCCTCGGTTATGTATGCTTACAACAGGGCCATGATCCTCCTGTGTCAGGAGCCTAGACTCGAGGGCAGAGCGAAGCACATCCAGCTGCGGTACTTCCTTCTGCGCGAGCTACAGCAGTGTCGCCAGGCCTACATAGTACACTTGGCCTCCGATGCCAACACAGCTGATATCTTTACGAAGGTGCTTGCGTCTAAAGATCATCGGCTGCACTATGTACAGCTAGGTCTCGTTCCTGTAGTCTCTCATTTGCTAGGACCTTGATTGTGTACAGACCTTTATATATATTACCTTGACTGGCCTTGTGGCCTCTTCCCAGTTGCTGGACTAGTAGTGTCACCCTGGTCTTGCTCTTGCCTTGTTTGTACTCGTTCCACGCTCGGGGCAAGCCCCAAGGCATAGCTTTCGAGCATCAGTCATACGGGGGAGTTTTCTCCAGCCCCAAAGTTGATTTATCGTGTCAGTATAAGTGACGCTTGCAAGTTCTGCCTCTGGCTTTCCCCGAGCTCAGAACACACACATTGCAGGCTCTGTTCCGAAGTGCCTCTCAGTCAGCAGCGCAGCTCGTGCTGGCAGGCATTTCGGGTGGGAAAACAGCAACAAACAGCCAATCGTGGCTGGCCTGGCAGCTATAGCTGATGTCGCTGAATCTGTTTGAAATTTTCTGCTAATGAAGGGAGCAAAGTACACGCCAGTAATGGGCTGGCGCAAGTGCTGCAACAAACCTCCGTCGTGTGTTGACAATAGTGGCGGTGTTTGCGTCACCCTGAGGCTTCAGCCCCCCCAAAACCAATCTGAGGGCCTGTTCCCCCCTATTGAGAATTCATGAGGGTGGTACATAGGCCAACTCAGATAAATAAGAGAAAATATATACTGTCAAAAAATTACCTAGGACCATCAGAGTGGTTTTCAAAAATGACTCTGATTTTCGGAGAATCAAAGTGATTTACTCTGATAAAATAAGCCCTAGCTGACTCTTGACTCTTCCGATTCTCATTGTTGGGCTGCACGGTCAACGGTCTGCGGCCGTTGCCCTTCCGTAACCCCTACGAGGTATTGTCAACCTGTGTGAATCGTCGGTGGTACTGTAGCAGTGTTGACTCGATGATCCTCGTTGTTGCAGTCTTTGCGTATTCGTGCATTCACTGTCAACTTATACATATGTTGTTATGTAGAAGTTATAAGCTAGATAGGGTATGTTCTTAGTGGGTACAACCCAAATGCTATATCTCCCTTGTTCTCCCTTCTTCTAATAATTCTTTCTAGTCTTAACATGGTATTACGGGTAGGTAGGTCCACCCACCCGCTTCCGCCCCGTGCCGCCACCTATTGGACCCTCGTGCCCCTAGCTGGCCCCGCGCACCCCTACGGCCCCGTCGCGCCCCTAGCAGGCCCTGTCGCGCCCTTACGACTCCGTCGCGCCCCTATGGCTCCGTCGCGCCCCTAGCAGGCCCCGTCGCGCCCCTAGCAGGCCCCGTCGTTCCCCTACGGCCCCATCGCGCCCCTAGCAGGCCCCGTCACGCCCCTACGGCCCCTCGCGCCCCTAGCTGGCACCGTCGCGCCCCTACGATCCCGTCGCGCCCCTACGGTTCTGTCGCGCCCCTAGCCGGCCCCGCCGCGCCCCTACCGGCCCCGTCGCGCTCCTACGGCCCTGTCGCACTCCAAGCCGGCCCCGCGCGCCACTTCGGCCCCTCGCGCCCCTAGCCGGCTCCGTCGCGCCCCTACCGGCCCCTCGCGCCCCTAGTTGGCCCCTCGCGCCCCTACGGCCCCCCGTCCTACCGCCCCCCCCCTCCCCCCCCCCCCCCCCCCCCCCCCCCCGCGTCCCTAGCTGGCCCCACGCGCCCTTGCCGGCCCCGCTCGCCCTAGCCGGCCCCTTGTGCCCTAGCCGGCCCCTTGCATCCTAGTCGGCCTCGTCGCCTGAGCCGCCAAGCCGCCGAGCTGCCGTGCCGCCGAGCCGCCGTGCCGCCGTGTCCCCAAGCCGCCGAGCCGCCGTGCCGCCGTGTCCCCAAGCCGCCGAGCCGCCGAGTCGCTGTGCCGCTGTCACACTGTGCGATGGCGGATGTCGTTCTTCGCTTGGACGCTGAGGGGCACGCGATCGACTTCGCCGCCTGGCTCATCGACCTCCGCCAGCACCTGACAGGTCAGCACCAGGATGGGCACTCCCTCACTATGCATGGTGATGGCTTGCTTCCCCGCCCCCCTGCGCCTGATCCCCTCCCTCCTGACCCTACAACTGCTGAGAGCAAGGCTTTTGCTGCTGCTGTGCTTGCTCGAGCTGTCTGGGATTCTCGCGACCCAGTAGCCCAGCTTACCATTAGCCATGCCCTCCCCCTGTGTGAGCGTCTACGCTTTACCGCTATCGCGAACGCCAAGGACTTTCTCGCTGCCGTAGTTGAGCATTACTCCACGCCTGCTTCCGCCTCTGCTGGCCGCTAAGAGGGTTTTGCGTTATCTTGCAAGTTCATCGGGCATGGGGCTAGTGCTCAGAGGACGCAGGCCAGTGGTCCTTATTGGGCACACAGGCGCTTCTTGGGTAGACGACGCTGAGACCCTCCGGTCCTCCTAGGGCTACTGCTTCAGCTTTCGTTCTGGTGCCATCTCGTGGAGGTCCATTCGCTCCTCGTCTGTTGTCCAGTCTAGCTGTGAGGCTGAGATCTACGCCGGTGCCATGGCGGCACAGGAGCTCCGCTGGCTGACCTTCTTGCTTACCGACTTAGGTGAGCGGCATAGCTCTGCCCCGGTTCTGTACACTGACAACAGGGCCATGATCCTCCTGTCTCAAGAACCTCGACTTGAGGGCAGAGCGAAGCACATCCAGCTGCGGTACTTCCTCCTGCGCGAGCTACAGCAGCGTCGCCAGGCTCGCGTAGTACACTTGGCCTCCGGTGCCAACACATCTGATATCTTTACTAAGGCGCTTCCACCTAGAGATCATTAGCGGCACTGCTTGCAGTTAGGTCTAGTCCCTGTTGACTCTCACTTGCTAGGCCCTTGATTGTGTACTCCTTTCTATTTATGCCTTGCAGACTGGCCTTGTCGCTTTTCCTCCAGTGGTTGGACTAGTAGTGCCGCCCTGGTTTGCTCTGTCTTGCTTGTACTCTTGCTGACTGGTCTTCGGGCCCCTGCCTCAGAGGTTGGACTAGTAGTGCCACCCTGAGCTGCGTGTTTCTTGCACAGCACTACCCCTTATCTAGCCTAGCGGGTGTATCAACTTATACAAATATTGTTATGTAGAAGTTATTGTTAACGTAGAAACGAATGATTACTAGAGGTGGAAACCTAGAACAAATACTAGTTGGTTGTACTCACTAGAAGCATACCTCAGTCTAGCCTATAACTTCTACATAGATAATATGTATAAGTTGACACACCCCCTAGGCTAGACAAGGGGTGAAACTAAACAAGAAGCAAACAGCTCAGGGCGGCACTACTAGTCCAACCACTGAGGCAGGGGTCTGGAGACCAGTCAGCAAGAATACAACCAAAACTGAAGCAAGCCAGGGTGGCACTACTAGTCCAGCCACTGGAGGTAAGGCCACAAGGCCAGTCTGACAAGCATATATAATAGAGAGTACACAATCAAGATCCTAACAGGGGAGCAGCTATAGGAACAAGACCAAGCTGTACACAGTGCCGCTGATGATCTTTAGGCGCAAGCGCCTTAGTAAAGATATCAGCTGTGTTGGCACCTGAGGCCAAGTGAACTACGCGGGCCTGGCGGCGCTGCTGTAGCTCGCGCAGGAGGAAGTACCGCAGCTGGATATGCTTCGCTCTGCCCTCAAGCCGAGGCTCCTGACACAGGAGTATCATGGCCCTGTTGTCAGCGTACAGGACCGGGGCAGAGCTAGGCCGCTCACCTAAGTCTGTGAGCAAGAAGGTCAGCCAGCGGAGCTCCTGTGCCGCCATGGCACCAGCGTAGATCTCAGCCTCACAGCTAGACTGAGCCACAGACGACGAGCGAGTGGATCTCCAAGAGATAGCACCCGAACCAAGGCTAAAACAGTAGCCCTGCGACGACCTGAGCGTCTCAGCGTCGTCTGCCCAAGAAGCGTCTGTGTGCCCAGTAAGGACCACTGGCCTGCGTCCTCCTAGCACTAACCCCATGCCTGATGTACTAGCAAGATAACGCAAAACCCTCTTAGCGGCAGACCAGTGCTGAGGTCGGTGTCTGCCTGTAGCCACAAAGCGAGCCAGGATGCTGAGAGGGTATGCGAGATCTGGGCGAGTGCAAGTCATCAGGTACATGAGGCAACCCACCAGCTCTGCGTAGGGGCCACTGGGCTCTACTGGCTCCTCAGGAACGGGAGCAGAGAGCCCATGGTCTACGGGTAGAGGTGTGGGCTGTGCGGAGGAGAACTGAAGACCGAACCTCTGAAGGACCTGACGCACCAAGTGTGACTGGGTCAGAGTGATGGTGCGTGCTGCTCTGTCCCTAGAGATCTGCAGGCCAAGATAGCGACGCAGCTCTCCAAGGTCAGTGCAGGTGTGTCTCTTCAGCAGCTCAGCCTTCACAGAGGCCAGTGCGTCCCTGTCAGGAGTAGCGAAGACCAGGTCGTCTACGTAGACAAGGATGTAGAACGGAGTCTGGCCGGAACGCACAAACAGTGAAGGGTCAGCAGAGGACGGAAAGAACTGCAGGTCTGCTAACGTGGCACGTAGCGTGTCGTGCCACTCGCGGGGAGCCTGACGCAGGCCGTAGACCGGGCGCCTGAGAAGCCACTGGGTCCCAAGAGGGAAGGTACCAGTGAAGCCCTGTGGTCGGCGCAGGTAGACCTGCTCGTGTAGGCTGCCCTGAAGAAAGGCAGTAGAGAAGTCGAGAGAGTGAAGCTCGTAGTCACGCTGTGCTGCTACGTGTAGCAGCGCCCGAAGAGTGGTCATCTTCGGGGTCGGGGCGAAGGTCTGGAAGAAGTCAACTCCCTCGCGCTGACTGAAACCTCTGGCCACGTAGCGCGCCTTGAAGACAGGCGGCTCTCCAGGGGGGCGCTTCACCTTGAAGAGCCACCGACCATCGACTACGTTCACCCCAGGCGGGGGAACTGCGTCGACGTAAGTGCCGGTGGATCTCCAAGATGCCATCTCCTGCTCCATGGCAGCTATCCACTGAGAGGCCCAAGGTCCCGAGGTGGCCTCAGCGTAGGTGCGAGGGGTCGGGATGTCGAAGGCGTCTGGGTCACCCTCAGGGACTAACAGCATGGAGCAGAGATGGGGAGCAGCCTCGGAAAGGAAAGCCAGCTCGTACTGCCTGTCCTCTAGGACGTCACTGCCAAGGGCAGGAGCACCCCCGACGGACAGAGGACGGGCAGGGTCAGAGACCAGAGCGGTAGCGTAGTCAAGGCGGCGGGTAGAAGCGAAGTCAGCGACAGCAGCGACAAGCGCGTCAAGGCGCGAGACAGGAACAGCAGGGTCGGTAACAAGAGAGGCAAGGACCCGAGGGACAAGGGGACGAGCAGCACGGAGGTAGTCAGAGAACGGAGGAGGTGCAACAGCAAGGGACGAGGGAGGAGGGGACGGGAGGAGGGGAGGACGAGACGAGTGGGAACGGAGCAACATAGGGTGGGTGGGCAGGACAGGAGAGACGGGACGAGCACGGGAGGGACGGCGAGCCCAAACGTGAGACGGAGGGGTAGGGTCAGGGGACAGCGGAGGAGACACAGGAGGGGAACGAGGAGGAAGACGGGCCGGAGACGAGTCTGGCGGCGGGAACACAGGACCGTAGACAGGGAGGTCAGGAGGCGGTGGGGGAGACACCGGCGCGCGGTCCGGGGAGGGAAGGCCGAGCAGGCGGAGAGCGGAAACCGGCGGCGACGGCTGCTGTGGCGGCGACGACGGCTGGGCCGGAACTCTCGGACCAGCAGAGGCAGAACGACCGTCGGCAGAACACTCAACAGCAGCACCCCCAGAACCAACACCCCAAGAGCGAGAACCCCCTCCAACACCAGCGGCACCCCCAGAAGCCGCAGGACGAACACCCTCCTCCACACCAGCACCCCCAGGGGCCGAGAGCAACGGCGGCAGTGGCGGCGACAGCGGCGACGGCTGCGGCGGCGACGGCGACGGCGGCGGCAGCGGGGTCGGCGACTGCGACAGTGGGGGCGGAGGCACTGGGGAAGGGGGACGCGGCAAGGACGGACCGGGGGTACCACCAGAGTCAGCAGACTCCTCAACGGGGACAACCGACGGGAGGGGAGTGACGTGGGAGACACCAGACGGGGCAGGACGAGGCGGGAGAGGGGCAGGGGCTACCGGGGGAGAGGGAGCAAGGAAAAGGGGGGGGGCAACTGGGAGACCTCGGTGAGGGAAGCGGCGGTAGAAGGAGACGGACTCGTCAAAGGTGACGTCACGAGAGTGGAGGAAGCGGTGAGACGGCGGGTGGTAGAAAAGCCAGTCAGACGAGTCCAGGGGGAAACCGAGGAAGACACAGGGGACAGTGCGGGCAGTGAGCTTGTCCGTGCCAGAGGCACGAACGTGAGCAAGGCAGCCCCAGACGTGGAACGCAGACGCGTCACCGGGGGACCCGGTCCAAAGGAGGGTCGGCGAAACCTGCGGCCGCTGGGAGCGTGGCCACAGGTTAAGCTGGTGAGCCGCGTAGCGAACAGCGAACGGCCACAGAAAATGGGGGGCATCGGCATGGATCATGGAGGTACGGGCGACCTCCATGACCAAGCCGATGCGGCGCTCAGCAACCCCATTCTGCTGTGGCGAGTCCGGCAACGTGTACGACTGGGTGATGCCCTCCGCACGACAGAACTGTCCAAGCCGACCAGAGGCGAACTCGCCGCCACGGTCGGAGTGGAGACACAACACGGGGAGACCGCGGTGGAGACGCGCAGCTACAACCCACGGGAGAAGAACGTCGGGCACGTCGGCCTTCCGCTCCAGGGGAAACACCTTGGTGTAGCGCGTGTAGTCGTCAACGAGCACAAGGAAGTAGCGCTCACCGCGCGGTCCGGGGACGGGGGCAGGGCCCCAAACGTCCAAGTGCAGGGTCTGAAGGGGGGCAGTAGCAGGACGCAGCGAGGAGGAGTGAGGAGCACGGCGGAGCCGACCCTCGACGCAAGGCGTGCACGGTGGCGCAGTCGAGGGAGGAAGGGCAGGGAGCGACGCGGGGAGACCTAAGACAAGACCGTGCTGGGACATGTGACGCAGACGCGGGAGAGCAGGGTGACCTAAGCGGTGGTGCCAGAGAAGGGAGGGGTGAGTGAGGGACCGACACGAGCAAGCTGCAGCGACCTGGGAGGACGCACCAACCGGGGGGGAAGCGGTGTGTAGGGTAAACAGACCGGACACCGGGTCCCGGGGGAACGTCGCAAGGGGGGAACCTGAGACAGCCTCAGAACAGACAGCGAACCGCTCGTGCCCGGGGAACGTGGTGGTGACGCCGAGGTCCTGGAGACAGCCGACACCAACCAGGTTCCTGGAGAACGAGGGAACGTGGAGGCCAGTAAGGGAGCCCGAGGGAACTGCCGGACAGGGAAGGGACGTAGAACTGCGCGCGACGACCGGACCCGCAGAGGGGTCAGCGAGAGAGACAACAGCAGGTGCAGCAAGCGGCGGGAGCGTGGAACGGTCGCGGAAGAAGCAGGCAGAAGCACCAGAGTCGAGAGTGAAGGACAGCGACGCAGTGGCGGAGGCCGCGGACGGAGCCGGTGCAGCGACTAGACTAGGCAACCTAGGCAGTCCTACGCCTGTCGCAGCAGGGGAAGCTAAGCTACACAAGGGTGAAACACCTAAACTAGAGTACACATGGTAGTAAGATCCATCAACACTAGAAGCGTCAGCATACAAAGCATGCAAAGCAGCACCTATCTGATCCATGTCTAACTCAAAGATCGGCACGCCCTGGCGGAGCAGGCTGTGCCAGTCAGGGAGGTCCGGGGCCGGGCCAAAGCGACGACGAAAAAGATCGTCGAGGCGGCGGAAACAGTGGGCGGTCGGGTGCGGGCGGCGGCACAGAGTGCCGCGGAGAGGCCCGGTCTGAAGCTGGTACTGGCAGGTCACAGCACTGGAGCCGCTGGTAGACGCCAAGCTGCGCGGGCCGCCACCACGGCCACCGCCTCCGGAGGTGCCGGGCCAACCAGGCGGGAGACGAGCCCACGGCTGCGGCGGGTGCTGCTGGGACGGCGGCTGCGGCTGGGGCTGGTCCTGCTGCTGCTGGGACTGCTGCTCCTGCCCACCGGTGGTAGTCCCCTCAGGCGGACTACCGTCACCACCACCACGACCACTACCACCTGCGTCACCACCCCTACCTCCCTGGCGGCCACGGCCACCGCGACGCGAGCGCTGCTGCGGGTGGACAGCAGCAGCCGTCTCGGTAAGAGGGGTCGCCGTGGCGACCGCAGCCGAAACGTCAGTGAACGTGCACGGGGATGGGGCACAACCGTGAAAGATAGAGACTGCCGGCGCACCGCTCGACTGAGCGATAGTGCGCTGGCGAGTCTCGATCTCAGTGAGGGTGTCGACAAAGGCGGTCAGGGTGAGGTCACCCGGGTGCTGGCTAAGAAAGTGGTCGCGAGCACTAGCGAGGCGGTCTGGCAGGCGCATAGCGATAAAATAGAGCGTCATGCAGAAAGGAGGGGGGAGCGCAGTGAGCTGGGCAGCAGTGCTGGCAGTGCGATAGCGAGTCTCTAGGGCACGCAAATGAGTGGCAAAATCTGCGACAGTAGGGAAGGCAGCCAGGTCTGGGAACAGCATCGGAAAGAGCAAGCGGCCAGCAGAAGCGGAGGCAGGGGTGGAATAGCGAGCAATAACGGCTTCTAAATAAGCTTTGGCCGTTTCAACAGTAGCAAAACGCGAGCGCTCAGACACAGGGAGGGCGTGACTAATAGCAACCTGAGCTACTGCATCGCGTGAGTCCCAGACCGCACAGGCTAGCGCAGCAGTAGAGAAAGCCTCACGGTCATCAGAGGAGGGGTCAGCAGGGAGGGGAGTAGGTGCAGGGGGGCGGGGGAGCAAGCCATCAGCATGGACAACCAGAGAGTGGCCATCCTGGCGCTGACCTGTAAGCTGGCGGCGAAGATCGGAGAGCCAGGCGGCGAAGTCAACCGCGTGGCCCTCAGCGTCCAGGCGGAGCACAAAGTCAGCCATCGTGCAGGGTCAGCGGCACAGCTCCTCAGCGACACAGCGGCACAGCAGCACAGCTCCTCAGCGGCACAGGAGCACAGCGGCGCGGGGACACGGCGGCAGCACTCTCCAGTAGGGCAGCAGCTAGGCGTCCCAGCGCAGGCAAGCAGAAGACACAGGGCCCGAGAGGACACGGCAGGCCGAGCAGGGGAGGCGGGCAGGTGCTCTAGGGCCGGGCTGGTGCTGGGAGGGGCCAGGCTGGTGCTGCTGGGGCCGGTCGGGCACGAGGAGGGGCCGGGCAGCGCTGAGGAGAGGCCGGGCGGCGCTAGGAAGGGGCCGGGCGGCACTAGGAGGAGGCCGGGCGGCACTAGGAGGAGGCCGGGCGGCACTAGGAGGAGGCCGAGCGGCACTAGGAGGAGGCCAGGCGGGCGAGCGCTAACAGCAGGCGCGACAGGGGCCAGCGGGCGCGACGGGGCCTAAGGGGCGCGACGGGGCCCAGCGGGCACGACGGGGCCCAGGGGGGGCGCGACGGGGCCGAGGAGTCGCGACGGGGACCAGCGGGCACGACGGGGCCCAGGGGGGCCGCGACGGGGCCTAACGGGCGCGACGGGGCCCAGGGGGGGCGCGACGGGGCCTAGCAGGCGCGACGGGGCCTAGGAAGCGCGAAGGGGCCCAGCGGGCGCGACGGGGCCTAGGAGGGGCGCGACGGGGCCGAACGGGCGCGACGGGGCCCAGAGGGGGGGGACGCGACGGGGCTTAGGAGGCGCGACGATGCCTAGGAGGCACGACGGGGCTCAGCGGGCTCGACGGGGCCCATGGGGGGCGCGACGGGGCCTCGGAGGCGCAACGGGGCCCAGCGGGGGCGCGTTAGGGCCTAGGGGTCGCGACGGGACCCAGTGGGCACGACGGGGCCCAGGGGGGGCGCGACGGGGCCTAACGAGCGCGACGGGGCCCAGGGGGGGCGCGACGGGGCCTAGGGGGCGCGACGGGGCCTAGGAGGCGCGACGGGCGGAAGCGGTAGGCGGGGGGATCCTAACCTAAGCGTGATACCATGTTAACGTAGAAACGAATGATTACTAGAGGTGGAAACCTAGAACAAATACTAGTTGGTTGTACTCACTAGAAGCATACCTCAGTCTAGCCTATAACTTCTACATAGATAATATGTATAAGTTGACAGTTATAGGCTAGATAGGGTATGTCCTTAGTGGGTACAACCCAAATGTCTCCCTTGTTCTCCCTTCTAATAATTCTTTCTAGTCTTAACACTCACGCGAGACTCCGGAAATGGCTTAAGTTCTTATATAATTTCCAACATCGTGTTGTTGCTCATTGGCATCACATGCAGAGCAGATGATTGAAACAGGCCTCATCACGACTGCAGAGTTGCCATACTGCACATCACTGTACATCACTTGAACACTCTCTACGAGCTTCCCAATGCCCCACAGATTACAGGCACTGTCCCTTGAGAAGGGGCTGCAGAACAAATGCAGCCCTGATAGACATTGTTTTGACCTGAGGCCTGGAAATACACCCCAACTCGCTTGTACGGCTTAGCAGCCATGACTTGTGCTCGTGTACAGCACCTCCCCAGTTGAGACACGACCTGCAACCATCTTTGTGCTCCCAGCCACTGCTGGTGTCACTTGGCGCGTGGAGTGGAACACCGGCCGTGACTAGGTATGAACGCCCGTTAGTGGTGGTACTTCTCCCCCTTGAGAATCGTCCACGCCCTGCACACCACAGCCGAGAGAGGATGGAGGCACAAGGCTGTCAAGAGTTGCTCAGAATACACGCCCTGAACAGCACACAAGGGAAAAATCTCAATAAGCATCTTCTCAGCATTGGTGAAACGGACACATAGCTTTCGAAACTTGCACTTGTTTCACAGTGCTAGCTGGGCTCGCATGTCAGCGCACAGTAACACAGCACAGCTCTCACCGGTACAGCTGCTCAGCCAGCACCAGCAGCGCCACCTCATGGTTGAGCACCAGAGACGAGAGCCGGATCTTGTCGTTGGCTCTGCCTGCCACCTGCGACCCGTGGCCGTACGGCCCTCCAATCACGAATGTGAGCGAACGGTGGGACTGGGTGGGGCAGGGCGGGTGGGGGGTGGGGGGGTAGGGGGGAGGTGGGGCTGAGGGCGTGGGCGGTTGGGCAGAGGAGGGAGGAGGGAGAAAGGCCACGAGACATGTTCACAACCTGTGATATGTGGGTGTGCAGGCCTCCTGTGACGAATGAGGGCGCACTATGGGACGGGGTGTGGCAGGGAGGAAGGGGGGAATGCGAAGGGGAGCTAATAACCATCGTCTGCTGCAAAGGGATGGTGAATTGGGTAAGCGGCATGGGCAGCACGTGCAAGGCATGGGCAGCACGTGCAAGGCACGGCCAGAACTTGCAAGGCATGAATGCATGGGCTGTGGGCGTCGAGCAAGGTGACAAGCTGGGGAAGCGGGCAGGCAGGGAACGAGGGGAAGCGGGCAGGCAGGGAACGAGGGGAAGCGGGCAGGCAGGGAACGAGGGGAAGCGGGCAGGCAGGGAACGAGGGGAAGCGGGGGAACGTGCAACTGAGGTGAGGATGTGAGGGAGGGAGGGGAGGTAGGTTGGTGAAAAAAGGAGAGAGGGAGGGAAGAAGAGGGCCGAGGGAGGGAGGCAGGTGCGGAATGCCAAGGTGGGAGAGTAGCAGCAAAAGGGATGGGATGCATCATCCATGCGATCAGCGCAGCTCACCGCGTCGGCACATTCAGCAATCAGCTGCGCCAGCTGTTCCGATGTCACTGGCCGGCCTCGTTCGTCCAGTAGCACGACCTGGTAGGGAGGGAGGGAGGGAGGGAGGGAGGGAGGGAGGGAGGGAGGGAGGGAGGGAGGGAGGCATGGTTGAGGCAAAGGTGCAAAAGAGAAGCGGGGGGGGAGAGGAGGAGAGGGGTACAGCTGCTAATGCCGCTGTGGTGTGCTGCAGCCACTAGCCACACTCTCATTCCCCTCCATGGGACTGCTCTCCAGTCAACCCAAACCAAAATCAGACTTAATCTCCACCACACGAGAATAATTGACTCATCTCAAAACAAAAAGAGCGCGCTACTCAAGATTTAAAACATTCTGGCGCTAACAGAAAGCATCTTCGATTCTTTGAGGAGAGAGCTCACCCACCCAGTCCGTGGGGTGCAGTGATTTCATCACCCTCTCCCCTTCTGCCTCCACCTGCACCCTCACATCACTGCCTAGAGGGAGTAGCAGTGTGCAGGGAGAGAGAAGAATAGAGCACAGCAGAGAGGGATTTGCCGAGGGATCAACCAGCAGGTATGGAGTGGCGTGGAGGATGCGTTGAGGGAAAGATCTACCCGCAACCCGAGCTATCCTCTGGAGGTTCACATGCCGCTTGCAGCGCCTACCTGGTGCCCTTGGGGTTGGACCGCACGGGCAGGTCCTCAAACGGGCAGTACCGGGAAATCTTTTCCGCATAGTCCTTCACCAGCAGCTGAGTGCCTTGCGAGCGGTGCTTGCCCACCGACACCAGGCGCACGGGCACGCGGCGCTGGGAAAGGAAGGTCAGGGGGGGTTGAGGGGGGACGAGAAGGGGAGCAAACAGGAGAGGACAGTCGTGCGGCAGATGTGTGGCCTGCGCGCGGTGCCTGCCCAACGGACACGAGGAGGACGGGCGGGCCACGCTGACAAGCGGCCAGGTGGAAAGGGCGGGAGGGGAGAGAAAAGAGGAACAAAGAGGGACGCAGCTGTGTGGCCTGCCCTGCACGCGGTGCCTGCCTGCCGACACGAGGAGGATGGGCAGGCGGCGCTGGGAAAGGGAGGGAGGGAAGGGAACAGAGAGGGGACGCCATCTGAGCAGCGCCTGTGTGCGCTTGTAGACAGGTGGGGAGGGGGTTGACGGACAGCTAGCGAGCAGCTGTGTGCGCTGCGCGCCGTGCTTCCCTACCAGGTTACCAGCACCAGGGTGGAGGGGGGGGGAGCGGGGGGGAGCCATGCAACAAGCAGCTTAGTGTGAAGGGGGGGGGAGGGGAATAAGAAGGGGGTGGGGGGGGGTTGGAAGGGAGAGGGGGGGGGGGGGTCGAAAAGAGAAAAGGGGAGCAAGGAGGGGAGCTGATGTGCGCCCTGCGAGCGATACCATGCGGATGGGCAGACGGAGCAGGGGAAGCGGAGAAGGGAAGGGGAAGGCAAGGGAAGTGAGGAGGGAAACCCCTGAGGTGAGCGGAAGGGCAGCGCGTCGGCACACCCTAAGTGACAGCGACTCACAATGGCCTGCCGGCATGTGATCGCAGCGTGGACTCGCGCGGTCAATCTGAGTGGCGCTACAGCCGCCGCCAACGACGACGGCGACGGCGACGGCGACGGTGGAGCCGACTGTAGCGGTACTAGTAGCGATAACGGGGTCCGCGACAACGAAGATGGCAGCGGCAGTATCAATGCTGCCTGTGATGGTGATGGTTGGTGCAGCGGGGACGGCCGTTTCTGCATTGACGGCGGCGCAGCCGCCGCTACGAATTGCCGTGATTCTATCGGTCGCAACGTTGCTGGATAGTGCGTTCCAAACGAGCTGCGGGAAATCGGGTCTGCGACTCCCGCGCAGTGGGGCGGCATGAGCACAGCCACTGCTGTCGAGTGGGGCGAGGCGGAAGCAGCGGTCCTTCGATCTCGATCCGAGACGAATAACGAGCAGGCGAAAGAAACGAGCGTGTCTCTGAGTTACAATCCAGTGTTAGTTTCGTCGCTTGAGACTCGCTTGAGACACTATCGGTATGGACCTTTGTTTGACGTCTGGGTGGTTACCCTAGCGCCTGCTAATTGTCTCGAGACTGATAGCGACAATAAAGGGACTATTGGAAATCAGAGGGCGCGATATTATCAGCTAGAACGATATTCTAACATCTCATGAGGTGACTTCTGTTTGTTCCTCTTCCTGAAGTTAATTCGAGGCTTTGTGTTATGATTTAGGAAGTGTCAATATACTATAACGTGAGAATACAAGGTCGCTATTGCAATGAAGGCACGAGGTTATATAGGGGTTGGCGTGCCAGGGAGATAACCGCGGAACGTGGGTAGGTTAGGCAATGTGGCGACAGTGCCGGACGCGACTCGGGAAAGGGTTGGGCCGATAAATGAGGCCGAACGTGACGAGTCGAGGAGTTCGGGTGTACGCGCTAGCTTACAACTCAGTAAGGAATGGATATTCCTTACACTAACCCGCCCTCCTAAACGAGACCGCGGGCATCGGAAACATTCCGACGCTGATAATACGCTGTTAGAATCAGGTGTGATTCTAGCTCAGCGAGCGGCACGCAGCTGTCGTCTTCTGACGTGCAATCGCGCCAGCGGACGAGAAAATCAACCATCCGACGGTTCAGCTGCGTCGTGACTCGTCTGTAGACGACAGGAAGAAATGCGGGTCAGCTAGCGTAGCACGGAGACTTGCGTGCCACTCACGGGGTGCCTCTCGGAGACCGTAGACCGGGCGCCGGAGGAGCCACTGGGTCCCAGGAGGGAAGGTAACGGTGAAGCCCTGTGGACGGCGTAGGTAGACCTGCTCGTGAAGGCAGCCCTGAAGAAAAGCAGTGGAGAAGTCGAGGGAGTGAAGCTCGTAGTCACGGTGTGCTGCTACATCTTGCAGAGCCTGAAGAGTAGTCATCTTCGGGGTCGAGGCGAAGGTCTGAAAGAAGTCCACCCCCTCACGCTGACTGAAGCTTCGAGCAATGTAGCGCGCCTTGAACATATGCGGCTCTCCAAGGGGGCGCTTCACCTTGAAGAGCCATCGGCCATCGACTACATTCACCCCAGGTGGGGGAACTACGTCGACGAAGGTATCGGTGGATCTCCAAGATGCGATTTCCTGCTTCCTGGCAGCTATCCACTGAGAGGCCCAGGGTCCCGAGGGGGCCTCAGCGTAGGTGCGAGGGGTCGGGATGTCAAGGGCCTCTAGGTGACCCTCAGGGACTAGCAGCATGGAACAGAGATGGGGAGCATCCTCAAACAGGAAAGCAAGCTCGTAGTGCCTGTCCTGTAGGACGTCATTGCCAAGGGTAGGAGCACCCCCGACGGACGAAGGACGGTAGGGTCAGAGACCAGAGCGGTGGCGTAGTCAAGGTGGCAGGTAGAGGTGAAGTCAGTAACAGCAGCGACAAGAGCATCAAGACTGGAGGAAGGGACAGACGAGTCGTTAACGAGGGATGCAAGGACTCGAGGAACAAGAGAACAAGAAACACGAAGGTAGTTAGACAGAGGGGGAAACATGACAATGAGTGACGCCGAAGGAGGCGAAGGCAGGAGGGGAGGACAAGACGCGTGGGAACAAAGCAACATAGGGTGAGAACATTGAACAAGAGAGACAGGACGAGCATGAGAGGGACGGCGAGACTAGACGTGAGACGAAGGACTCTGGTCAGGAGACAGAGGAGGAGACATAAGAGGGAAACGAGGGGGAAGATGATCCGGAGACGAGTCCGATGAAGGGAACACAGGACCGAAGACAGGAAGGGGAGGAGGGGCTGGGGGAGGCGCAAGCGAGTGGTCAGGAGAGGGAATTCCGAGCAGGCAAGGGGCGGACACCGGCGGCGACTGCTGCTACTGCTGCTGCTGTTGCTCGACGTTGACACCTGGATTGCCAGCTGCACTACGGCTACCTCTGGAACACTCCACTCTAGCACCCCCAGAACGAGCACCCTCTCTAGCACCGGTGCCACACCTAGGCCCGCCGGGACAAGCCACGATAGCAACCTCCTGAGTCCACAGACGGCTCCTGCTGCTGCGGCGGCGGCTGCGGTTGCGACGACGGCTGCGGCTGCGGCGGTGACTGCGACGGCTACTGCGGCAACAGAGGAGGAAACACTGGGGAAGAGGCAGGCGGCAAGAACTGCACCGGGGGCAACCAGAGTCAGCCGACACCTTGACTAGGACAACCGACGGGAGGGGAGTGACGTGAGACACACCAGACGGAGCAGGACGGGGAGGGAGGGGAGCAGGGGCTACGGGGGGAGTATGAACCAGAAACAGGGGTGGGGAAACCGGGAGACCTCGGTGGGGAAATCGGTGGTAAAATGAGACAGACTCGTCGAAAGTGGCATCACGCGAGTGAAAGAAGCGGTGAGACGGTGGGTGGTAAAAGTGCCAGTCAGACGAGTCAAGGGGGAAACCGAGGAAGACACAGGGGACAGTGCGGTCAGAGAGCTTGTTCATGCCAAAGGCACGAACGTGAGCGAGGCAGCCTTAAATGTGGAACGCGGACGCGTCACCAGGGAACCCGGTCCGAAGAAGGGTCCGCGAAACCTGCGGCTGCTGGGAGCGCAACCACAGATTAAGGTGGTGAGCGGCGTAGCGAACGGCGAATGAGCATAGAAAATGGGGTGCACCGACATGAATCATGGAGGTACGAGCCACCTCCATGCCCAACCGATTCGACGCTTAGCGACCCCATTCTACTACGGGGAGTCTGTCAGGGTGTACAACTGGGTGATGCCCTCCGCACGACAGAACTGTCCAAGCCGACCGGAGGCGAAATCGCCGCGACGGTCGAAGTGGAGACACAGCACAAGGAGACCGCAGTGGAAGTGTGCAGCTACGACCCACGGAAAAGAACATTAGGTGCGTCGGCCTTTCACTCCAGGGGAAACACCGTGGTGTAGCGCGTGTAGTTGTCAACGAGCACGAGAAAGTAGTGCTCGCGACGCGGCCCAGGGACGGTGGCTGGGCCCCTGATGTCCAGGTGCCGGGTCTGGAGTGCTGCGGTGGCTGGGCGAAGCGAGGAGTGAGGAGCACGGTGCAGCCGGCCCTCGACACAGGGCGTGCACGGCGGCGCGAGCGAGGGAGAGAGGGCAGGGAGCGACGCAGGGAGAGCTAGGACAAGACCGTGTTGGGACATGTGACGTAGACGCGGGAGTGCGGGGTGACGTAGGCGGTGGTGCCACAGAAGTGACAGGTGAGTGAGCGTCTGGCATGAGCAAGCCGCAGCGACCTGGGTAGACGCAGGACCCGGGGAGGACGCGCCAACCGGGGAGGAAGCAGTGTCGAGTGTAAACAGGCCAGACACCCGATCCCAGGGGAACGTCGCAAGGTGGGCACCTGAGGCGGCCTCGGTACGGACAGCGTACCGCTCGTGACCAGGAAACATAGTAGTGATGCCGAGGTCCTGAAGACAGCCTACACCAACTAAGTTCCTGGAGAACGAAGGGATGTGCAGGCCTGTATGTGAACCTGATGGAATCGTTGGACAGGGAAGGGTAGTGTAGCTACGAGCAACGACAGGACCAGAGGAGGGGTCAGCAAGTGCGACGGCGGGAAGCGCGACAAGCGGTGTAGTTGCGGCGTGGTTGTGGAAGAAACAAGCAGACGCACCGTAGTAAAGTATGAAGGACAGCGAAGTAGTGGTGGCAATCGAAGGAGGAGCGAGTGTGGAGCCTAGGCTAGACAAGGCAAACGATCCTACGCCTGGCGCAGTAGGGGAGTCTGGACTACACACAGGTGCTACGCCTACACTAGAGAACACAGGGTAATAAGATCCGGACACAATACAAGCGTCAGCATACAGAGAATGCAGGGCATAAATAATGTGATCCATATCTTACTCAAAAACGGGCACATCGTGGCGCAGCAGACTGGGCCAGTCAGGGAGGTCCGGGGCCGGGCCGAAGCGGCGACGAAAGAGGTCGTCAAGGCGGCGGAAGCATGGGGCGGTCGGGTGCGGGCGGTGGCACACAGTCTCACTGAGGGGGCCGGTCTGGAGCTGGTACTGGCAGCTCACAGCACTGAAGCTGCTGGTAGACGCCAAGCTGTGAGGACCGCCACTACGGCCACCACCTCCAGCGGCTCCTGGCCACCCCAGCGGAAGGCGAGCCCACAGCTGCTGCTGCGACTGCGGCTGCTTCGCCGGTTGCAGCTGCTGCTGCTCCTGGACACCAGCCCCAACCCTCTTGTCAGAACCACTGTCCCCGCCACCACCACTACTACCACCAACACCACCACCACGCCCTCCCTTGGGGCCACAACGGCCTCGACGTGGTCGCAGCTGCGGGAACACTGCAGCTCCGGTCTCAGCGGCAGGGGCAGCCGTAGCGACCGCGGTTGAAACGTCAGCGTACGTGCACTGGGAGGGAGCAGAGCCCTGAAAGATAGGGACTGCCGCAACACCGCTCGACTGAGCGATAGTGGGCTGGCAAGCCTCTATCTCAGACAGGGCAGTGACAAAGGCGGTCAGGGTGAGGTCACCGGGGTGCTAGCTAAGGAAGTGGTCGCAGGCAGTGGCTAAGCGGTCCGGCAGGCGCATGGCAATAAGGTACATGGTAGCGCAGAATGGCGGGGGGAAGGCAATGAGCTGGGTGGCAATGCTAGCGGCGCGGTAGCTAGTCTCTAGTGCACGGAGGTGAGTGGCTAGGTCAGCTATAGTGGGGAAAGCGGTAAGATCTGGGAATAGCAGGGGGAGGATAAGGCGGCCAGCAGAGGCGGAGGAGGGCATTAAGTAGCGCAACTACTACATCTAGAAAATCCTTGGCGTTCGCGACAGCAGTGAAGCACGGACGCTCAGACAGGGGAAGAGCATGACTAATGGCTAGCTGCGCTACGGCATTGCGGGAATCGCAGACAGCGCGACCAAGCGCAGCAGCAGAAAAGGCCTCGCGCTCAGTAGTGGTGGGGTTAGCAGGGAGGGGATCAGGCGCGGGGGGGCGGGGAAGCAAACCATCAACATGCACAACCAGGGAGTGCCCATCCTGGCGCTGACCTGTCAGGTGACGGCGAAGATCGACAAGCCAGGCGGCGAAGTCGATCGCATGCCCCTCCTCGTCCAGACAGAGTACGGCATCCGCCATGGTGAAACCTCTGCGTCACAGCTCCACGGCGGCACAACGACATGGCGGCACAGCGGCTCAGTGACACAGCACCATGGCGGCACAGCGACACGGCGGCACAGCGACACGGCGGCACAGCGGCACAGGTACTGAGCAGCACGGCGGCACAACGGCGTGGCAGCAGAACTCTCCGGCAGGAAGACCGGGCGGAAGGCCGAGCAGGGCGCACAGGGCCCGAGGCGTGCAGCAGGCCTGCGAGGCGCGATGGGCCGGTGGGACTCGAAAGGGGCAGCGGGGCGCCAAGGGCTGGCGGGGTCGGCGGATCTCTAAGGGGCCGGCAGGCACGCGAGGGGGGGGCCGACGGGGCACGAAGGGGCCGGCGGGGCGCTAAGGGCCGGCGGGCACGCGAGGGGCTGGCAAGGCGCGCGAGGGGCCGGCGGGCACGCGAGGGGCCGATGAGGCGCACGAGGGGCCGGCGAGGCGCTAAGGGCCGGCGGGGCACTAAGGGCCGGCGGGCACCCTAGGGGCCGGCGGGATGCGCGAGGGGCCGGCGGGGCACTAGGGGCCAGTGGGGCGCGAATGGCCGGCAAGGCGCGTAGGGGACCTGCGGGCGGGAGCGGGGTCATCGAGGTGCTAGGGGCCGGCAGGGCGCGCTAAGGCTAGGGTACGACGGGGCGGTAGGCTAGGGCGAGGGCGGAAGCGGGTGGGTGGACCTAACCTACTATGATAGCATGTTAGATTAACAGAATGTACTAGAACAAGTGAGTACAGGGGAGATATAGGGTTGGAGTTGTACCCTCTACATATAAACATATGTATAAGTTGACATCCACGTGTGAAAAGCTCGGAGCTTTGATAGACACTTGCGGGTCTCTTGAAGACAATCAGTGGGCCACCGCCAGTGGCGTGTGGATGGAATACTGGACTCATGCCTTGCCCTACTTCTTCTCCTCCCCGCCCAGTCTCCTCCGAATCTCCTCCTCCTCCTCCCTGGTCGGTCTCAGGAACCACCGCCGCACGCCCTCTGATGCCCCCTGCAGCTGGGGATTGGAGGGAGGGGTGGGGGGGGGATGGAAAGGGGGATGGGGTTGGCTGCTGTCCTCCCCCCCTTTCTCCTCCTCCTCCTCCTCCTTGGTCAATCTCAGGAGCCACCGCCGCTGTCCTCGCATGCCCCTTGTAGCTAGGGATAATGCGAATGGGGGGAGAATGGGAAGAATGGGAATGGGGTTGGCTGCTGTCTCCTCTCTCCCTCACTCTCCCCCTCTCTCCTTCACACTCCCTCTCTCTCCCTCGCTCTCCCTCTCTCTCCTCTTCCTCCCTGGTCGCTCTCAGGAACCACCGCTTCACACCCTCGCATGCTCCCTGCAGCTGGAAGGGGGGGTGGGAGGGAGGGGAGGGTGGAACAGGGAGCGAGAGAGAGTTGGTAGGGAGTAGCATATGAGGGGTGGTCTCAGGAGTCAGGAACCACCGCCGCCCCGCATGAGATGACTTCTGAGCTGACTTAAAGTCTCAGGAAGGACCGCCGCACGCCCCCTGATGCTCCCTGCAGCTGGAAGGGGGGAAGGGATGGGAGGGAGGGAGGGGTGCAGGAGGGTGGGGGAGAAGAGGGGTGGGAGGTGGCGCATGAGGGCATAGCTGGCTGGACTTCAGGACTGCAACACCGCCCGCCTCGCTTTCCCTCTCTTCAACTCTGGCTGCTGCACTCTCAGAGAGTGGATGTGGGTGGGGGGCAGGGACGAAGGAGATTGGGGAGAAGGTGCGTGCTGCGGGGAGGAGGCAGGAGGATAGGAGGGGTGTGAATTTTAGGACAGAGTGTTGTCAGGGTGCGTTTTGAGTCGACTCAAAAGTGTTGTCAGGGTGCGGCACGTGAGCCCAGGATAGATGAAAGCGCAGGGATCGAGGAAGAAGCTGGGAGGGAGGGGGGAGGGGGGAGCAGGGGTAAGGGCAGAGGGAGGAAGGTAAAAAGGGGGGGCGAACTGGACCATACAGTTGACCTGACCCCTTGTTGAGGTAACCCCCCATGCAGTTACTATGTTCTGTGGGTAGTAACCTGGTCCGTGAGTCACTGATTCTCCAGTCTGTAAATATTCGGTGTGTAGGGTTATTCCCGGGCGTCCTAACCTAAGCGCGACTCACATCGCCCAGCGCTGTCTTCCGATCGCCGCACTCTGCGTTACTCGCAGCGATTCGCTCAGTCATGGTGTTTTTAACACTAAAAATGGGAGCATCATCGACTAGGGCATCATCGATTCGCTGGGTGGCTGCAGCATACCAAAAGAAAGTGCTGAGCGCGACTCGTGCCATCGACGGCCAAGGCATGGAGCGACATGGAGCGACATGGAGCGAACGAGTGATACACTTGTATCACACCGACTCACATCATCTAGCACTGTTCGCCTGTCGCCATAGTCGGCGTACATCGTCGCGATTCCCGCCGCTACAGTCGCCACCACAGCGAGCGCCTTGATGCGAAACTCGAATTTCCGGTCCATAGTGGCCGCTGCGATAATCTAACCTCGAGGCGCAATAGTCTCGTTCTAAGTCGTGTCAAAACGCGATGCAAGCTCGCTCCCGCGGTCCGCACGCCAATAGAGCTGCTCTCGACATGCGCGGAAGCTGGCTCCCTCGCAACTACTGCAGGCGTGTGGCCCCAGCTGCTACATGTGAGGCGCGCTGAATCGTATAGCCGCCCCGCTACTAGCTCGCGAGATGGGAACACCCTTGGCGAGCGGTTCGTATAAACGGAATATTCAGGTAGCCACCCTTCTAGTTCCACAAAGTGGCTGGTCCTAAAAAATAACGTTCTGGAGCAGAGGCAGCCAAATTCTCGAAATCCTCGGCACAGAGTACCGCGATTCCCCGAGTCTGTGAAAGGACAATCAGTTACAACATAAAATTCGATAACGGTACATTGAATCCAATTGAATTCTGGCGAGCGACATTTTTTGCATGGTGCTCTAGCAGCAGCACATACTCGCTCTTGCATCCACAACAGCCTTCTCGCCTCTCTGCACCGCCCTTCACCCCGCGAAGCGACTCCGTCGTGTGCGTGGCTCATCTCCTCGGCCTCTCCTGCGCACTCCAGTCGCCTCGGTTCTAACGTTGCCGCTCCAGTTGCCACCGCAAGTCAGCGCTTCGTCAGTCGCGGCCACCTATCGCCAACTGCCCGTCGCTCTGTCTCTAGTCAGCTTCACCTGTCGCCTGTCGCCTGTCGCAAATTGCCCGTCGCCCGTCCGTCGCCCGTTGTCCGTCGCCGCTAACCTGACGTCATGATGGACGTCAGCACAATCGAGGACGCCCTCTCCCGCCTCGTTAAGAGGCACGCCGCCGTACGCGCTAAGGAGCTCGCGCTGCTCGATAAGGTGCAGCACGCTCTGGCGCAGGCGCAGGCGGCGCTTGAGGCGGAGCTGCAGGCGGAAAGGTCCGCGGAACACGCGGGGGGAGTGGCGGAGCGCGGGGAGAAGGAGGAAACCATCGGTACGAGTGCTGACGTGGCCATGGACGTCAGCGATGGCGTCAGCAAGCCTAGAAGCCCCAGCGCTAGTCTCAGCAGCAACCCTAGCTGCCGAGCCGCTGCGTCGAGCCTATTGTCGAGGCTCGGCGGCCTAGGTCCGGAGAAGGAGGTGGCAGCGCTGCACAAGGAGCTCCACGGGGCTGTGGCTCGGCTGAGCAAGGCGGTGGAGCGCGAGAAAGACAAGGGCACGTTCGTTGCTGATATCGGAGGTGCTTATAGGGAGGCCGTGCGGTTCGACCGCGATATAGTCAACAGGGAGATCGCGAAGCACTTATATCGAGAGGGGCTGTTCGATATAGGGGACGCTTTTGTGACAGAGGCGGGGCTGGGGAAATCGGGGCGAGGGGAGGGGGAGGAGGAGGAGGAGGAGGCGGAGGAAGGGGAGATGCGGGAGAGGGATGAGGGCGAGGACGAGGGGGAGCGGATGGATGAGGAGGGAGTGGGGGAGGGGGGGCAGGGGAAAGGGGAAGATCCCGCGGACGTAGAGGCGGGGGGGGGTGGTGCAGGGGGAGGTGGGGAGCGGGGAGGGAGGCTGTGGGGGGAGGGTGTCTCGGGGGAGCCCAGAGTGGGTCGCCTGTCGTGGTCGGCGCGCAGGAGAATGGCGTCCAGTGGGGGTGGGGGAGGGGGTGATGGGGGGGCAGCTGGGGCAGGAGGGGGTGGGGCAGGCGGGGGCAGGGCGACAGGAGGCACTGAGAGCAAGGCAGGAGGGGCACTGGGCGCGGCAAGCAGGGCGGTGGGCGGGGTGGGAGGGGTGGGCGCGGGTGTGAGTCTGCAGGAGCATCGGCGGAGGTACGGCGCCATGCATGCCATTCTGCATGCCATCCGAGCCAAGGATCTAGGTCCGGCGCTGGCTTGGGCGGCGCAGCATCGGGAGGAGCTGCAGCGGGAAGTTGCTGGGGGGTTTCCTGATGTGAAGATAGGAGGAGGGGTGGTGGGGAAAGGGGAGGGGGGAGGGGGCGATGGAGGGAAGGGGGTGGGTGGAGGGCTAAAGACAAGCTCTCTGGAGTTTGAAATACATCGACTGCAGTTTCTGAATCTTTTACAGGAGCAGCAGAAACAGCTTATATTGAAGCAGCAGCAGCAACAGAAGGGAGGCTCGTATTTTGACTCTGTTTCTTTCGCCAGCGCCACCAATGACGACAGCAATGGCCAATCACGGCCTGCCACCTCCGCAGCCCTCCAGTACGCGCGTCAGCATTTCCCACCGTTTGCCGCCACCCATCTTCCCGACATCCAGCGCCTCATGTCCGCTCTCCTCTGGATCGGGCGGCTGCATTTGTCCCCATATGCCGACCTCCTGCCGCTCACTGCTGCCCACTGGGATCAGATCGCTGCCCGGTTCACCGCAGACTACTGCGCCGTGGAGTGCCTAGAATCCAGTGAAAGCCCATTGGCGGTCGTGGTGGCTGCGGGCGGCGAGGCGCTCCCAATGCTGACAAAACTCGCCGCCCTGCTGAACCATAGCAGCGGCATCGCGGGGGGAGCAGGGGGGCGAGCAGGAGAAAGCAGCACTGCTGCTGCTCACACCACCACTGCTGCTGGCACGTTTGCCAGCACTGCTACCGCTACTGCTGGCACTGCTGGTGCCGCTGCTGGCACTACCAGCAGTACGAGGAGGGTGACTCGCGACTGGCAGGGCGTGCAGCAGCTGCCGGTGGAGATCGAGCTGCCCCGCGCCTTCCACTTCCACTCCATCTTCGCCTGCCCTGTGTCTCGAGAACCAGCTGCCTACCCTGACAACCCCCCCGTGCTGCTGCCGTGCGGCCACGTGGTGTGCCGGGTCTCGGTGCTGAAGCTGGCCAAGGGGGCCACCAGGCCATTCAAGTGTCCCTACTGCCCCCTGGAAACCACGCCCCTTGATTGTAGGCCCATCCAGTTCTAGGGTGTTCAGTCTCCCCTACTGCCTGCGCACCCCACCCCCACCACAACGAACCCGACAACACCCTCGTGCTGCTGCCTTGTGACCATGTGGTGTGCTGCGTGTCTGTGCTCCAGCTCACGGATGGAGACTCGAGTTCGTGCAAGTGCCACTGTTGTCCTCCCCTTGCGACTACTCCCCTCGATTGCAGGCCACTTCAGTTCTACGGTGCTCCAACCATCTCGCCTCCTCCTGCCTTCCCCCAATCGCCACCCACCCGGACAAACTCCCCGAGCTCCTGCCGTGCGGCCACCGGCCACGTGGAGTGTCGCGTGGCCGTGCTCAAGCAGGCTAAAGAGGCCACCCGCCCGTTCAAATGCCCCTTCGCCCTCCGAAAACCACGCCGCTATATTGCCGGCCCATCCTGTTCTAGGGTGCTCCAACCATCCCTCCTCCTGCCTTCCCTCTAACCCACCCCCCCCCTGTTGCCATGTGGTTACCGGTACATGGTGTGAGGAGGGGGTGCTTCCCTCCAACCATCCCTCCTCTTGGCACGTGCCATGCACTGATCATTGCAGGCTGCAGCAAACAGGATTTCCTGGTAGCAAGAGGAGCAGAGGGTGCGCAAGGGGCACGCCAAGTGGATGCAGGCTGTTCCGATGAGCCTCGGGTCGAATGTTGTCCCTTGCCGCGATGCTTGTACAGTCTAGCTTTGCATCTGATTTCTGCGGATACTGACGGATGAGGGTGAGCAGGGTCTCAGATATCAGACGAAATCCGTCTGATGGTCTGAAAATCAGACCTGTTTTTTTGCTTTCATCTGATTTTTTGACGGGGTGAATTATTTCATCTGATTGTCCATCTCAGTCATAAGATTTCGTCTGAAAGTTCAGACTTGGTGTACTTTTTCGTCTGAAATGTCAGATAGCGCGTATAATTTCGTCTGACAACAATCACCCCTTATCCCACTGTGCCAATGGGTCACCTTCCTAGTGGCCCACACTCTGCCATCTTGGTCCTGGTCGGTGGGCAGGTGCATTCATTTCCACGCGCACCGCGACGGCCAGCGCATAGTCACGAAATGAAACCGGCAGCAATCTGAGTCAGGTTGCTGCCCATTGCTCGTCCGATAGTGCGTCACTTGCACGGCTGCCAGCTTCCTTGCATCTTGAAGCTGGCAGCAATGTGCCAGCGCACAGTGGTGCGGCCAGGAAAGCCACCCACCGCGAGCCAGCAATGCAGAGCTGTTTCGTAGCCATGCAGCAACCTCGCTCGCCATGCTGTAGCTCAGCGAGGCGCCTAGTCGTAAAGGCACCAAGGGAAAAGCCTCGTAGCCACTTGTCCTGCTCCACCTCGTTCTTCCAGCCCCCTCAGCATGGCTCCAATCTTGCTCGGCGCACACCCTGCCTAGACGCCCTCTAGCTCTGTGGCTAGACAGCGATGGCGTCAGAGAGAGCGCAGTCGATCCCCTCCCCAGTTAGGCAGTCAATAGTAGGCTTGGAGCCCCCTGGCTCAACCCCTCCGCTTGTTAGTGGTCTAGATCTCCTCACTGGCGCGCTGAACCGAGCCGTCAGCGGCGATGCTCCGGTTGCAGCCGTGGGTGAAGCACCTCCGTCGCCTCTCCCACCCTTAGACGACGAGCCGTGGGTTTTCTTTGACAAAGAAAACTCTACGTGTGATGCTCCAACGTCGCCTAACCCGTCGTCAACACCTGGCTGCTCAACCGTGCGAGCCGTCTCCCCTTCACGCGTGACGCGCGGTCCTGTCCTACCAGTTCGCGCTCCTGGCAAGAAGTATCGACAGCGCAAGCTTACGTTTGGCCGACCAGCGGTGGCTCAGTCTACACCCTCTGTCCAGGTGCAATCCCGGTCTTCCGAAGCATCTCCCGCCGACTCCGACGACGACGATGGTCCCTTTCCCCTCACAGTCGCCGAGCTCCAGTTGAAAGCCAAGGAGCAGTGGCAGCGGTATTTCCCATAGCTGCTGATTTCCGAGACTTCTGAGGGGCGTCCATGCATGAAGTGTAGCATCTTTATGGGGTATAACAACGACCCCAACTACCAGTATGGGCGCAACGGCGAGGGCGGCATCGACATACAGAAGCAGACGATGCGCAAGCACCACCACAGTCAAAAGCACGAGGCGGCGATGGCACGGAAGGAGCAGAAGGATGGCAAGAATGCGAAACAGAAGTCCATCGTCGACTTCGAGAACGGGAACGATGAGGCAAAGCGACTGAAGCGACTCATGGCGATTGTGATGTTCCTCTGCAAATCTGACGCCCCCGTTGTGTTGTTTGTGTCACTTGTCCAGTTCATGGCAGAGCAAGGAACACCAGACCTACCCGTGAAGGACAACGGTACCTACCAGAGCGAGTAAGTGTTTTACGTGATACCAACCCGATATACTGTTGATTTGTTACGTGCTTTCTAGAAGGCTGACACTGTACTATTATGCATGCGCAGGTACGGCTTCAATCAGGTGGTCGACAACATCGTCACTTACCTGCGAGCCAAGCAAATGACCCACATCAGGGCTTCACCATTCTTGGGCATCCAACTCGATGAGTCAACCGACCGCCGGCGGGGTAAACATATGATTGTTTACCTTACCTTCCTCCGCGACACGACGGTGGTGACAGAGTTCTTCGGGCATCTCACCGTCGAGAAGTGTGACGCCGCATCTCTGCAGGCCGTTCTACTCACCCACCTCGAGTCTCAGGGCATCGAGCTCAACAAGATTTGCGGCATCAGCACCGATGGAGCCAGTGTGATGACGGGTGCGCAGGCAGGCCTCGTGGCTAGGCTACGCACCCGTATTCCACACCTGGTTTCCTGCCACTGCATCGCGCATAGGTGATTCTAACATTCTATAACAATGCATATTTTAAAAGATTATTTCGAAACTAATAAAGTTTTTCTGTCAATCTGCAGGGAGGCTCTTGCTGCCAAGGACACTGCAGATGATTTCCCGGACTTAGGCATCGTCGACAAGGTCGTGCGGTCACTGGCCGAGGTGCTCGGCCGGTCCATCGTCGTCCACAACCGTTTCAAGGAGCTGCAGGAAGTCGTCACTGAAACTAACCTCGAAATGCAAGGCATTCACCAGATACGTTGGCTTAGTTGCGGTGAGGCTATCCAACGGCTTGTTGATGTGTTTCCCGCGGCCATCCTCCTGCTGTACGAGTATGATAGGAAGATGTATCACGTAGTTGTCTCGTTGAAATTTCATTTCTTGCTGTACTTTCTGGCGGATATGCTGCGGGAGCTGAACACGCTCAACCTCAAGTTCCAGCGTTGCCAGGTAAGCCACATGGTGTCATGTCGTCGGTTTTAGGAGAGTGATGATTAACGAGCAAAACCATCTCCCATTTCTGTCTTTGTATGGCAGGTCGACGTCACCCAGGTTCTTCGGATGGTCGACAACACTGTCGTTACACTGCGCGCACGCTACGTAAATTACAACACACAGTTCGGCCCACCTGACGGGGACTTCGCCGACTTTCTGCATCTGTACGCGGGGGGCGAGGACGTGACGATCGAGGGGATTGACGCACACGGGGCGCCGACTGTGCACACGTACACTCTACACACAAAGCCGCTGGATGGGCAGCGGAGCAACGGGGATCTGAAGTCGCTACAGCAGCTCGCCACGGACGTCGTCAACGGTGTCATCAACCACCTGCAGGGACGCCTCAAGGATCTATCGAAGCTCAACGGCACAAGACTTTTCAAGCAGACGATGTACCCGAAGTCCACTGCGAGGCGCGAGCGGAAGTTTCTCGAATGGCTCCAGTCTCTGCGCGGCCTCTACAAGCGTGATGCGTCAGCGCCCGACACTCTGCCGGGTGAGTTCCAAGGGGTTGTAAGTGTCTCCATGGCTTGGGTGTTTTCTGGTTGAGATATTTAACGAAGGCTTCTGTGCCTCTATTTCACCCCCCCTTCAGGTGTCCACTGGGGCAAGGCGAAGGCCGAGCTCATCAGTTTCACCACCATTATGTCGACACACAACGACGAGCTGGGCTTCCACGATGCGCTGCTCTCCACGCCGGACTGGATGACTGCCTACCCCAATTTGGTTCTCATCTGGATTGCCTGCGCCGTGCTGCCGCTCAGCACAGTGGAGTGTGAGCGCGGGTTCAGCCGCCAGAACGTCATCAAAAGCTGGCAGCGCGGCAATCTCGGTGATGCGAAGCTAGGCCACTTGATGACGGTGTCGCTGCTCGACTACCCGATGGACTGGGGGAGTATGGTGGCTAGCTGGCGTGGAACGAAGAAGCGGCGACCTGCCAAGGAAGTTGTCATGGATCAGACCGCACGGCAGGTGAAGCGGCCCAAGACGTCGGCGGCATTGAAGGCGGCAAAGGCAGCAGCAAAGGCAGCAGCAGAAGCAGCCAGGCAGGCAGAAGCGCTAGCAGCAGCAGAAGCAGCCAGAGTGTTTGAAGAGGATGGTGCGGCTGGCCCAATCTGGAGGAGGAAAAGCAAGGGCAAGAAGGTGCAAGTCTCAGAGAGCGACAGTGATGATGATGACATCGAGGAGGTCGGAAGTGATAGTTCAGACTCCGAGTAGGCAGATGATGGTATGGCACAGCATGGTTTAGTATAACGCTAATTCCTAATGTAGGTTGTGGTAGTGGAGCATCAGTAGCACTAGAGTTTTTTCCAGCTATTCTTAGCATATACGGTAGATGCAATTTCAATGGATTCTGACGACGTGTAACAGTTGTTTGTGTAGCACTATAATGTAGCACATTCGGCATTGTTATATACTGAAACTCCCGCAACGTTTCGTCTGAATTGTCAGATCGTGCCAAATGTTTCGTCTGAAATGCCAGACCGGCAAAAAAAATTCGTATGATGGTCAGACGAAAGTTTGAAACCCCGTCTGAACGTCAGACGGCCTAAAATCCTAGCTGAAACCCTGAGGGTGAGGTGCCTAGAACATTGTATACACTTGCATGTGATGACTGCAGGTATGGATGGTCCTGTGCTTTTCATACAGCAAGGGATTGTATTGGACAGACTTTAGGAATGTTTTCACAAGACAAGCCCAGCAAGGCTAAACAATTCCCTGCATGGCACATGCCAATTGCAACTTGCACTCAACGGCACTCATAACCCTTGTAGGTACGTCAGCCTCCCTCCATGTCAGCATCCCCTTCACCCCCTCCCCTCTTCCCCCTCCCCTTGCTCCCCACATACTCTGCCTTACCACACTCCCCCCTCTGCACGTGCACTCTCGCTCCACACACGCCCCCCTCTCCACCCTCCCCCACCCCACTGCCATACACATCCACATGCCTCAGCGTGTTAGAAAGAGAGAATGAATGGACTAGTGTGAGAAACCTAGAACATGTACCTGTTGGGGTTGTACTCACTAGAAGCACACACCTAGGCTAGCCTATAACTTCTACATACAGCATATGTATAAGTTGACAAACCCCCTAGGCTAGAGAAGGGGTGGTGCTAAGCAAGAATCACACATCTCAGGGTGGCACTACTAGTCCAACCACTGAGGTAGGGGTCCTTAGACCAGTCCGTAAGAGTACAAGCAAGACTAAAGCAAGCCAGGGCGGCACTACTAGTGAAGCCACTGGAGGTAAGGCCACAAGGCCAGTCAGACAGGTATATATAATAGAGGGTACACAATCAGGGTCCTAACAGATGAGTAGCTATAGGAACAAGACCAAGCTGTACACAGTGCCGCTGATGATCTTTAGGCACAAGCGCCTTAGTAAAGATATCAGCTGTGTTGGCACTGGAGGCCAAGTGAACTACGCGGGCCTGGCGACGCTGCTGTAGCTCGCGCAGAAGGAAGTACCGCAGCTGAATATGCTTCGCTCTGCCCTCAAGCTGAGGCTCCTGACACAGGAG